TGTGTGTGACCACACCAGGAGGTGAGTGTGCTTAGACCCAGAATGTGACTGGCACACCTGATAAAAAACACGTGCAAAATTGTGCTTCAATAGGGACCTATCTACATTTCTGCAGTCAAAGCAGACCAAGAGCTGGTTGGTCTTCATGAAAGCCTGTCTGCACTGGATGTGCTCCGTCACCAAGCCCGGACAGGCTTAAACTGGTGCAGGTGAGACTAGCCAGGAAGGGATGAAACAGAGTCTCATCTACCTGAGACAGTCGGTCTTTCCCAAGTGAAAGCCTCCAAGGCATCCTATTTAATAGAGGTGAATTGCTGGGACCATGGCAAGTGGGAACAAAGATCCACCAAAATCAGCCTCACTCATTCTGCCTGCATCCTTGGAAGAAAGGACTGGAGAACCGTGACAGCAGAGAGGGCTGACAGCAGACTACAGGGCTATGTGTGTGCCTGGGCATCCCACCCTTAAGGTGGGCCATCGTCCTATGATGGAAAAGAACAGCTGACGATGTGTTGATTCTTTGGAACTGAAAAGGTCAAACCTTGCCCTGACAAAGCGACACCGAGTCTCCTTAATCCCCGGAGGACAGACTCAACACTCCCCAGGGTGTGGAGTCTATGTTGACATGACGTATGCTTCAGAGTTACCAGCACATGTGTGACTCTGATTAAGCATAAAAGGAGGTGAACCGTCTGCAACAGTGTGGTTGCCAGGCTGCCTATTGATGGGCGCTCTAGTCACTGTGCTGTCTTTCCTGGCAATGACATGGTGACATTGTCTTGGCATGCAGGAACTTCCACAGAGCAAGGAGTTCTATGCTGCTGGAAGTTACGCAGTGGGTCAGCTAACAGCAAATCCAGAGCCTGTTGACCCCACAGACAGTATAGACCATGTTCAGCCTACTGGGGAAGCATCTGTGAAGACCAGCCAGCACTGGACCACAGGTCCTAGACCATGCCTCTTTGCTCTATGCTGGCTGAATCCTTCCACCAGCAGAGGGTTAGGAAGTCCCCCGAGAAACCATCATTGTGGTCTGGAGAGAAACCTGTTGACAAAACCTTAAGTTCATCAGACATCTTTGGACGGCTGCATGCACAGGAGGGGGAGAAAGATGCTTTGTTTCCTGGCTGCCATTTGGCCCTTGAGGAGGGACAGAGACCCTAGTTGGCCTAAAAATGTTGCCGGAAGAGACTAAGTCAGGTTAAAAAGGTCTGCCCCCCTTTCAGGACTCAGGAAATTAGTATCCCTCCTAAAGTCCACAAACAAGCTCAGAAATGTTGTCACCTGAGGTTGCAACAGACCAAACTTTATAATGTCAAACCCATGCCCTTAGCCTCACATGTGTTCCAAGAGGATCGCTACATGACAGTGACATCACTTCTCTGAGCCCATGCAGAGCCACTGAGGAAGAGGGTAGATGCTCACTGTCAGTCTGCACTTGTCACTGACTACTACTAAGTACGTTAGCTGGCTACTGCAAGCAGTGTGCTCTGGGGGCATTCAGGTGTTGACAAAGTGATCATCTGGTGTAATATTCTCACACCTGAAGTCTGTGCACAGCAGGGATCCCACCAAATGTACTAGCTTGTGATACCATGAGCACTAGAAAGGTAGAAAGGTATCACAGTCATAGTGAATGCCTCTCTGTATTTTGCTGGCATGGAGGGGGAGTCAGCTCTCCTCAACACCGCAGGTCACAGCAAGTCCTGAGTTGTGATGCCAAAATTCTTGTTGTTTATTGAATAGCAAAGATGTGAAGGTGATGAAGAAATTATCTCCTGCTGCTGTGTTGTTGGTACATAAAAAGGTTTATTTAAACTGATACAGTATCTCAGACACCATGGTTTAGAATTAGAATTACAATAAAACTTTATTGATCCCTACAATACAAGACTTCAGGGAAATTGCTACACCGGAAAAAACAACAAAACACCAACATAAAATCAGCAACAACAACAGCATTCAAAATTCAAAATCAAAATCATCAACAACAACAGCAACAATAATAACAACAACAATAATAATAACAACACTGGATACAGTAACACATTGCCCACAGTCTGGTGATAGAGCATGATGCTCTCTCTCACCCCAATGTCCTCACTCCTCACCCCTCGCCCCCCTCCTCTCCCCGCTCACTGCCCCGCCCAGAACTGGTCGTGGGCATGGTCCAGATTTCCTGAAGTCTATGACTAGTTCCTTTGTCTTTGAGACGTTGAGCTGCAGGTGGTTTTCTCTGCACCAGACAACAAAGTCGTCCACCAGACTCCTGGACTCACTCTCTCTGTCATCCTGGATACACTCCATGATGGTTGTGTCATCTGCGTACTTCTGTATGTGGCACAGCTCCGAGTTGTAACAGAAGTCCGAGGTGTACAGGGTGAAGAGGAGAGGGGCCAGCACTCTGCCCTGAGGGGCCCCTGTGCTGCTGACCACAGTGTCAGATGTGGTGTCCTTCAGTCTGACATACTGTGGTCTGTCAGTGAGGTAGTCGGAGATCCAGTCCACCAGGCACAAGTCCACTCCCATCCTTTCTAACTAACAGTAACAGGGGCTGGATGGTGTTAAAGGCACTTGAGAAGTCCATAAAAAGAATCCTCACAGTGCCACTTCCCTTGTCCAGGTGTGAGTGGGCTCGGTGGAGGAGGTACAGCACAGCATCCTCCACCCCAACAGTTCTAAATCCCAACAACACAGAACCACCTTGACAGAAACGTGACTTGGGTTACGCCAGCGGTTGTTAACGTACATGATGGGACCCCCACCTCTGCTTTTTCTGCATGCCTTCGTGTCTCTTACTGTAGCGAAGCCCAGCAGGTCCACGTTAGCATCCGGTGTTAGCTGGGTTAGCCACGATTCAGAGAGGATGAACATACACATACATACATCTACAGACATGTAAACACATAGAGGTGTGAAACATCTGACGACTGACTTGTTGTATCATGAGTGTAAATGATGTTACATAGAGACACAAAGTTCATTCATTTTTTTGTACATTACTTTCATAATCTTAGGTTTTGTCCATTACTTCTGTGGTGTAAAATGTATGTGGTAATCCGAATTATGTGGCAGTGATATTGTTTAAAATTTTAAAGCATAACAGCAAATGAAACAACTGTTAGGGTGTGAGTAGGAGAGTGGCAGGTTTTAGTGAGTTCACCAGAAGTGGTACAAAACATTCTTACCCTATATTTACCCAAAAATGTATGAATTCAGAACTATTCTGAGAAAGACACACTGAAAGAAACATAGAATAGAATAGAATAGAACAGAATAGAATAGAACTTTATTGATCCCTTCGGTGCAAGACCTCAGGGAAATTGCTACACCAGAAAAAAACAACACAACACCAACATAAAATCAGCAACAACAACAACAGCATTCAAAATTCAAAATCAAAATCATTCAAAATCAGCAACAACAGCAACAATAACAACAATAATGATAATAATAGTAACATATTACAGTAATATCACATATATATATGTCACACACACACATATCTATATATCACATCACTGTGAGTGGGATCTCATGGGCAGCTCTCCAGTACTGTGCTCCTAAGTCTGCGTAATCATCGTCAGTTTCATTGTCTAAACCCTTTAAAACATGCACCCTAATTCAAAAATCACTATTATTGAAGATCAGCATCTTCAGTTTAAAGACATCTTGACAGCTTTGTGCTCATCTGCCTAAATAATTCCTTAACTTTTGTCTGGAAATTTTTCCCTACAATGACATAGAGAATGGGATTGAGAACACTGTTCAATAAGGATAAATAGGTGAAGATCAGGTGAAAGAAGTTCAGGTGAGTCGTACACAGTCCCACAATGTTAAGTCTACTGAGCAAGTCTAGTATCTGAACCACGTGGTACGGCACCCAGCAGATCAGGAATGCCAGGAAGACCACCAGGATCAGAATGATGGCCTTCTGCTCCATTTTCTGAATGTTCAACCTCTTTCTCAGAGTGTGAATTATTTTGACAGTGCAGAAGGAAATAATAAAAATGGGGATGATGAAGCTAAATACAGAAATCCCTTGATACGCCAGATACATCGTGGGACTTGAAACATTATGATTGCATCTGCTAAAATTTCCCTCAGGGAAATGTAGAACTTCCCTGAAGATGAGTGCTGGGACATTCAAGAAAAAGCATACACCCCACACCACTACACAAGCCAGTTTGGCACAAAATGGCTTCCGTATTCGTGCACTGGTCAGTGGACGCACCAGTGCCAAATATCGGTCAATGCTAACCAGAACAAGGATGCAGATGCTGCAGTAGGTATTCATGGTGATGGAAAAGGGGATCAGTTTGCACATGGTTTTACTAAGTTTCCAGTCATATTTCTTTGCTACATTCAAAGCCCAGAAGGGTAAACTAGACATCAGAAAGAGGTCAGCAGCAGCCAGGTTGCTCCAATATATCTCGACCACTGTACAGGCCTTCTTGTGGAGGCCCAAAACCATCAACACAAACACATTCAGGATAATTCCCAGCACACTGATGACCAGGATGTACACTGGAACCACAGTGAACATCCAGTCGCTTCCTTCAACATTACACCAAATGCCATCTGTGTTGTTTTGATTTTCATCCATAATCTCAGGGTGGAAGTGGGCAGGCATGCTGTGGACAAATAGAGACAAGCTTTACTTGTCTTGATAACTCTTTAAGTGCAGCAGCTGAGGTTCAACACATTGGTATGCTTTTGTTACAATTTTTACCTGATTATTTCTCATGAGGGTGTTAGGAGACACCCACAACCATTGTGTGCCATTAACTGCTTTGTAAAACTAAAGTTTACATTTCAAACAAACAAACAAAAACTACAGTTAAAAAAAGGTTGCTTATGTATGTTGGATGTAATTTGTTGAACTTGCTTTGTTGTGATTAAAGTAAAAAACTAAAAAATGATTTGTGCACATTCATTAAAATGGAGATATCTGCTTTTGCAAATAAACTCACTTTTTTATTGCTTGTGAAGCAATAAAGAATGTGTAATAAAACAGACTGACGTTTTCACTAATGCATTGTGGTGTAATAAAAAGAAAGAAAAAAATAGAATGATATCTGAGTGGCATAAGTAATTGCAGTTTGTTTGACAGCGACTGATAAAACATAAGATTTGCTTGGATGCGTCAGGAATCAGCGTCATGTTGTTACCGTTTTGTTATGTACTTGTACTGATATGTCTGTGAACCAAAAAGTACTAATTAAGGACTAATACGTTTAATATATAGATGACCATGTGTGTGCATCAGCAAAACAAAAACAAATTCCTCTACCTGTGTACAAACCTGAAGGTTTTTTGATGTATATTATGTAAAATCTGCGCTGATTAAACAGAGTCACTTTCCAGAAACTAATCCCAAAAGAAATTTTTGAGCTGTAAGAAAAGATGTGGTTTTGAACAAAGCCCTGGTTAATTTGAACCTGGCCAAAAAGTAATACATGTTTAAATATAACATTTACAATTGCATTACAACATGCTGGTTTTATTTGACTGCTTGCTGAGTCCAACTGTAAGCATCAAATCACCTCCTTGATTGTTTTCTTGTAACATTAAAGTTGTGCTAAATCTAGTAATAAGGTAATAAATGTGTTATTAATGTTAGCTGTTTCTGCTGAACAATAGCAAAACATTGTAAAGTTGATAATATTGTAATAAAAACATAGAAAACATAGAAAATGCACAAATCAAATAAAGCTTACGCAAACCCTGTTGGCAAAAGAGTCATCCCTTCTGGTGAAGACAGAAAATGTGAAACTTGTCAGTTACACTCTTGCAGCTCGTTCTGCTACCTGCTCCGTCTGTCTCTGACCTGCTCACTCAGCAGAGCAAGTAAACTGATAATAAAGTGATGTCAGCTAATATCTTTGACCCGTTCACTCTCTTGCTACCCCCTCCCCTCTTCATTCTGTCTCTCCTGTTTCTTTTTCCAGTAGCATTGTGTATCTTTGTTTGCAGTATTCACAGATTGTGTCCACATGATTCATGTTTTTTAGTAGTATTCTCAAAAAGTGTTTAAGAATAAAGTTGATCTCTGAGGTGGAAGTTTCAGCCCTCAGCACGTTATGAGAATGTTTCTTTACATATTTTCTGTCACTTTCATCAGCAAAGTCACTCTGCAGAGAATCTGACTTTTCAAATCGACTTTTTTTGTCAAAAGTGACGAGGGACAAATCTAGCGACTCCTTCTCGTGTTACTGGAGACTGTACTGGTGTTTTGGAAACTCTGACGTGAAAACACGTATCGGTCTGCAGTTACAGTCCTCAGCAAGCAGCGGCGCTGCCGTGAGCTCCTCCCATCCCAAAGCGCTCACAGGTGGTCAGAGTCTGGTCCAGTGACGTGTGGTCAGGGGAAAGAAAAAAATATATCATGATAAAACAATTTAAATGGTTATATTTATCCAGTGATTTGTGCTATACAGTATTTATTTCTTCATTTAGCCTCGTCAATTTTGATTTTAAATTTAAAATTGCTGAATTTTTGCAATTTACCGCAATAATTATGAAACATAACCCGTAAACTGCTGCCAATCAAATGGCAAATAAGCAACTGTGTAGAGTGCATGTATTTGTAAATCAGATTCTGATGAAGTCAGTGCCTCACCAGCCATGAACCTCACCGAGCGTCACTGGTCTGGTCAGCAGTCCAGCTACAGTCAGCAGACCAACCACACGCTGTTCTACTTTGCTGCAGGTGGATCATTTAAGTTCGGCTTTTTATTTCATATAAACGAGGAGGACTCAAATAGACACTGACTATTTTATTTCAAAGTTACCTTCAACCCAACATCTTTTTTTTCGGCGATCAAAATGTTTTTGTTGCATGCAGAAATAAAGTGTTGTTTTCGCTGTAGCAGTTCATTGATTTCATAAATGCAGCACACTGTAGTGTTTTATACATAGCATGAAGGTAAAAAAAAAACATATATGCAGTGTTATCTTCATTTTAGATGTCAAAAGGATTTTGTGGCTCTCTGTGTTTTCTTTTTTGTCCAAGTGGCTCTTTGAGTGTTTAAGGTTGTCCCCCCTGCCCCTGGGCTAGAACAAAAAGACTAAGGATAGTTTCCACCCCTCCTCACACACACACACACACACACACACACACACACACACACACACAGAGTCCTATACAGACAGCACACTAAGTACACAGGTGACCCACTACCTCACTCAGCCTTTAAAAAGCCAAGACTTCCAACTGCAATTTTGTTGTGTGTATGGAGGCATATGCATAATGACAATAAAAGAATTGAGATTGTGACTGTGACTGAGGCAGAGTGCAGCATGCAGAGGGCCAGGAGGCAGCACTCGCTCTTTCATGGCAAAGCATCAAAGTTCAGAGGGTTGCCACGGACACGTCATTTGATAAAAACTCACAATTTTTGGTACGAGTCATCATCAGCATCTAAAGGCTCATGTCACCGCATTTGAGGTCAATACAGTCAACCGGCTAATAATAGCACATGAACGTGTAAAACATATTATTTCCTGTTGCCAGCAGGCGGCGCTGTGACTGTGAATGGATGTTGGCAGATGGGTTTCATCAGGGCAGGACTGTGATCAAGTACGGAAAGTTTGAGGCAGATTGGAGGGTCGTTAGACACACATCCTTTGTGATGGCGAATCATCACAATTCAGAGGGCTGCTGTTGTCACACCCTTCAACAAAATGCAAAGCTTTTGATCATTTTTAATCACTAAGCCCTGTTGTATGTGCTGGCCAAATCTGGGGTGTGTAGAAGTCAACCCCTACGAGGAGTTCGCTCTTGAATATGACAACAATCACAAACATTTCAACAGTTGTTTCAAAATGGTGGACTTCCTGTTGAGTTTACGGGATGGGTCCAAGAGGCATTATGATTATGGGTCAGTTTTACAGTGTGGATATCTTCAGACATGGACTCTTGTCAATCATGTGTGATGTGCGATCGCGGCCTGCCGGTTGGTAAGCTCAGTAGATCACGGTCTCAGTGGCCCACATTAGCCACCAGTCTGCCAGTGAAGGAGATACACATCATTGACACCACCATCTACCGAGTTTACCGGCCGCGGCTGGAGGCCCATCAACATCATTCACTTGCCCAGTACAGCCCAGCAGACAGTTATTTTATGGTTTATTCAGTTATAACCACTCATTTCTGTTTTATCTTAGGCTATGAAAAGGTCAGAAAACAGTTTTCATATGAAATACAAAAATCACGTATATGTGAAATTTATGAAAATAGGTGGGTTTCTTCCCAAAGCTTATGAAGGAAGGCTTGTTGGGAAAAGAATAATGTATATACTATAATCAAAACAACAATAACAATGCCACTTTCACAGCAGCAACAATAATATGATTGTTATTATAATAAGCTTTTCATTAAATTAACCCCCACCACCAGGCTATTGTTAGTTGGAAATGCCAGGGTCAAATTTGATCAACCTTTTTCAGGATTGTGTTGAATTAGCGATGGGATATGGGGTTAGGGTTTGTGGAGGCCAGGGTGTGAATTGTGGGGGTACTGGGGGTGAAAGTACCAACCAATTAAGAGTCAAAGTCCCGAGTCTGACTCATCAAGGTTTAGTCAAGCTCCTAGACTGGCTGCAGGGCTTCACTCTGACACGTTCATGTAGCTCATATACAAGTAAAAGAGGTTCTGCTTGAAACCAAGTGAAAATAAAATTTCGAATTCACCCCCCACCCGCTCATGTAATGGATTTGGACTGGGTACCCCCCTATTGTCATCGTGTAAATGTATAAAACAAACATAGCTACTGCAAACTTTGAATGTTTCTAATCCAGCCTGATGTGAATATTAATGTGTGATTATCGCATATTCAGAAGCCTAATTTTCAATAAAAAATTTAAGTAACATAAGTCACATATGTTTTTCCTTGTAGCAAAGAAAGAAGTCATTTGGGTATCTTACACAATTAATTTTTTTCACTTTTGACACATTTGATTTTTATTATTATACAGCATGAAGTACACATAAAATATTAAACAATGTATTTTCCTTTACATATATGTTGCGTATTACACAACTGATTACTTTTAATTTAGAAGAAATTAGAGATCAAACATAAATACACAGTCCAGTAGAAGGGCACGAAGCAAATCAGTCCCCGCAACCCTGCACGGATAAGCAGGTATAGAAAATGGATGGATGGATGTTAAAAATACACAGATATGTAGCCGTACAAGTACATTTCCTTCACCACAATCCGTTGTGCGTCTTAAGTGTAAGATAATTAAGAAAAAAGAAAAATGCAGGTTAAGATGAGAGCTTTTTAAAAATGGACAAGGTGTTTAAATATACAGTACATGCATAAATACAATCCCTAGGTTGTGTTTTCTTCTTCCTCTTCATCCTCACTGGTGTCTGGGCTGCTGGGTCCATTCTGGACCTCCTCTTCAATATGCGGAGGGACAGATGCATGAAGACAGTCTGGTACTGTTGGTAGACCATCTGCAACACCTCTTCCATCTCTGAAGCTCTTCTTGTTAGAAAACTGCAAAGTCCTTTGTTGCCATTGTCTATATCTCAAAATAAACACGACACTACGCTACAAAGAATTGTTCTTTATGGAAGGCAGAAAACTTCAG